CTATATCAATATATAGTTTGTTACAAAATAAGATTATTCAAATGGCATCGTAACTTGCTTTTTTGGCTTAATATACAGTAGAAGTGCTCTTAAGCAAACTTCACTTACACATCTCACTGAAATCACCATCCATGTCCATTCTTTCCTAAAAACATACAAGTATTGACATGCATGGAGTACAATGAAGGATCAAGGCAGGCAGGCCTCCCTCTGGGATGTACCTTATACTTACATTACCACCAGTTGAATTAAAACTATACCAAGCGATCAACTATTTTAGCTCACACATAAGAGTGAGAATATGCAATATTTGTCTTTCTGTGTCTGGCTTATTTCACTTAACATAAAGTCCTCCAGTTCCATCAGCATTGCTGCAAATGACAGAATTTCAGTCTTTTTATGGCTAAGTAATAACTCATTTTGTGTATATATACCACATTTTCTTTATTCATTTCTCAGTTGGTGGATACTTACATTGACTCCCTACCTTGATTATTGTGAATAGTGCTCCAATAAACATGGGGATATAGATGTCTCTTTGATATACCAATTTCTTTTCCTTTGGGATTGTTGGATTGTATGGTAGTCCTATTTTTACTCTTTTGAGATATTGTCCATAATGGCTGTGCTAATTTACATCCCCACAAACAGCTTATAAGTTATGTTAAGTGAAATAAGCCAGGCACAGAAAGACAAATATCACATATTCTCACTCACATGTGGGAGCTTAAAAACTTGATCTCCTGGAGGCAGAGAGTAGAAAGATGGTTACCAGAAGCTGGGAAGGGTATATGAGTAGGTGGGTGAGGGATAAAGAAAAACTGGCTAATGTCAGAAGGAATGAGGTCTAATGTTTGAAAGCAGAGTAGGGTAACTATAGTTTACAACAATGTATTATATATTTCAAAATAGCTAGAAGAAAAGATTTGAAATGATCTCAACATATAGAAATGATAAATACTTGAGGTGATGAAAATCCTAAATTCCCTAAAAACTTAGGGAATCTGTTACATTTGTTCCCAAATCTGTTTGTGTCTGTTATCACTGCTATATAACTTAATTAAATAGTATGTACATCAATAAGCTAACAATGTAAGAAGAGAATTGTTTTTTTATAAAAACTAAGGCGAATGTTTTAGGGAAATCTGATAAAGATATGACTTTAAGAAAAACAGCTACTCTCAAATTAGGGGGAGAGAAGTCACGAAAATCAAGCAGTCTGCACTCTGACTATGGTTTAGACAAGAAAGGTAAGATGTGCACCGTCCAGCAGCAACGCTACCTGACCAATCACCAGAGATGAGTACATGGTCTCTCTCTGCTTTGAAGAGAATACATTCTACGTCAATCACTATATACATTCCTCATCATTTCCAATGTCTATATCATATTCAATTTTTGGCTGTATTGTCATTTCTGTAACCAACATATCAGCAACCATTTTAGATTATTTATAACTTTCCAATACTGTAAAAATATTGCAACATTTGTCATGTATACATTTTGTACACTTTAAAAATTATTTCCTTAGAATAAAATCATGAAAGTAGAATTTCTGGTGAAAGAATGTATATTTTTAAAGCTTTCACACACACGTACATTTAAACATGGGATAGAAAAACTAAAAGTTTTAGTGTTTTCATCTTTAAAGCTCAGATGACTAAAAGTGGTACAAAGATAATAAGCAGTTTTCACCACCATACACAAAATTTTATCACCGAATTTATTTGGATCTGAGTATTTCATCTGTAAAATAAAAGGTTTAGACTAGAATTCTTTGGGGCCCTCTTCTCGGCTCTAACATCTCAGATTTCCAGGGTGTTCTTCCAGGTATTCTCCAGGAGTGCATTTATTTTTTAAAAGCTATGTCTCACAAACCATATAAGTGGAAATCTATCAACTGATTCATGTAAGCAAATTAAACTCCATCCTCACTGCACAATGTCTTAATTTTCTTTTCTAACTGAAAATCCTGAGCTTAGAATTTGAGGGGCAGTGATTACAGGGACAGAAAGAAACATTCTTCTTGTAACTAAGTTTTCTCTCTAGTTACAGACTAATTGCCCTTCTGTCTTTCCCAGAAAACCTTCTGGGAAAGTGGTCACCTGCCATGCAGTTTTCACACCCTTTAGTCAGGCTTCCATCCCAACTTTCCCATGGTCACTGCTCTACTGTGGTCACCAGGGACCACTCAAGGACTATTGAGTTTTGTTTTATCTCTCCACCACATATAACAGTACTGGTCACTCTTCCTTAATGTCTTTTTGTCTATAAGACCACATTACTTGATTACTACTTCTTCTAAGTCTCTGGTTCTTCTACTTCTATTCTCCTTTCATGGTCTTCTTCTATTTGTCCCCACAATTTAGCTTAAAGTTTCTCTAACATTTCTCAGCCATCTCATCTGCTTATATAGTCAGAAATCTTCAAACAAAAAATTAAGTGTACCAGCTGGTTAAGATACATGGCAATGCATTCTTTCATAAGGCCAACAATGATTGGTTTTGATTACCCCTTAGCTTATCCCCCTTCTAGACAAATCTATGTTTCCATGATTCTCAAAGTATGGTCCCTGGAAATCTTTATTTCCATGATTCTCAAAGTATGGTCCCTGGAAATCTATATTTCCATGATTCTCAAAGTATGGTCCCTGGATCAGCAACATCTGCACCACCTGAAAATCTGTTAAAATGGAAGATACTTGGGACCACCCCAAACCTACTGAATCAGCAATTTGTGTTTTAGCAAAACTTCCAGGTGATTCTAATGCATGCTAAAGTTTGAAAAACACTACTTCATGTCATGCACTCTTTTAAAGCCAGGCCTTAGTTTAATGACTAAGATAACTGGTGGGGAATCGGAAATAATCAATTCTCCCTCCAACTATCTGAGTGATGTTGAATGGCATTCATGGATCCTTTCATCCTAGGGAAATTAGGTGAAAGAAAGTATCAAAATGCAGAATGGGAACAGCAGTCTTCTCGAATTGCCTTTCACAGGAAATGACAACCTAGCCCGACCACCCTGGAAATGACCTTACCCCTTTTGGTACCACTGGTGATGTCCCCAGTGCCAGAGGGAGAAGAACTCCCCGTCTTGTTGCTTTGGACAACCATACTTGTCAGATTCACTGACTCTAGGCCCCAGAGTTTTTCAGTCATCTCATATCCCAACAGGCAGAATAGTAACTATCAGGTAGACAGGAAGCTAGAAGATAAAAGGGAAGAAAAAGATTTCTTGCTTCTTGAGCAGCTGCTGCTCTGGTGGAGGAAGAAGTCCTGTTATCTGCTTTACTTACTAATTAATTCATTCATTTATTCATTCATTTATTAATTTATTGATTTGTCTTTCCGCTCAACCATTTTAACTTCAAAGAAGTTAAAATCCAGGAAGAGAACACAAAACAAAGAAGACAATATGCTCTAAGTTTAGTATCTCATGCCATGTGAAAAAGCCATCCATGTAGTGATTTAGAAATAGTCATTTCAAGCCTTACCTCTATGGCTAACTTATAACACCAATAGAAGTGTTTATCTTTTGTTGTCGTTTTGCAGAATGAGCTAATATATAGTTACTTTTAAGAAGTTCTAAAGAACGTAGACTAAAAATGTGAGACAAAGAAGAAAATATCCTGACGCCCTGTTTTGACAAAAAAGACTTATCCATAGCAAAAAATTCAGTTGAAGAGCCTATCCCTTAATATTCATAAAAGAGTTCTTATTTGCTGAATAAATCATTAGAATAACTTTTAACAACTTAACAAAAATCACAAATCAACACGGAGCAGCTATGTCTTGTTCTTTTTTTATTAAACGACAATAAACTTGTCCTTTTAAAACAAAACCTAATAGCTTATTCAGCTTACATTCAAAGACCTTCCCACATACATTCACATCTCTGTTGACAAACTTCAATAATAAAATATAGGTAAATAGTGAAATAATTCTTAAATAAATTCTTCACTCCAAATAAAATACTTCTGCAAGTATTTCCTAACAATAGCTAATACAACAGTTCTGTTTGTGCCAAGATCCTTTCAAACATACTCTTAATTACATTTATCAATCAAGTTTCAAAGAAAACAAATATGAAAATAAACTGTATTTTAAGGTTGGCATATTTCCTACTGAAAACAGACTCTTATTTTCCAAACCTCTTAAAAAGTTATTCCCTACTTTAAATTTAAAATTCATCTAAGTCACAGCACTGACTTTTAAATAAATTCCTTCTGTTTCTCATTTTTTGACAATTTTATAAATCCCAAATGACTACATTTTTCTAGGTTTTTCTATGCTTATTGCTGCTAATATTACTATAATTTTTATAATAACACCATGCTGCAGATGTTTGAAAGCCTTGTAGAGTTATACTTTTACTCTAACCATTTTAAATCAACAATATTGGGTTCATTTCTTCAAGATGGTGACAAATAATGGGTTCAGAGGATGACATACTAACATATTTGTTTCTAAAAATATATAAATATTTACCTTCATACACACACAAACCCCCAGCGGGCAAAATACTTCCAAGCTCTATCTCTGAGGTGGCATTCTTTAAAACCATTTATGGAAGTGTATGCTTGTCCTCTGCCCTAGAACCATCTTCAGATACAGGGAACCTGGGAACTACATAAGCAACCTTTTGAAATTGACCTCAATCAAGGCTGTTACTCAAACTCCACAGGATTCAAACATCTCACTTCTTCCAGGGGCTTGCTGGTTGTTTTATTTTGACTTTTCTCCAAGTTTAAAAAAAAAAAAAAGCACAATTAAATTCTACTGAAGTTACCACAAGGAAGAGCTAACTATTAGATTCCCACCCTCACCCCATCCCCACCTTCTCTTAGTCTTAACTCTTCCACCATTCCCAATTCCAACACACATCCAAGTCAAAAACCCATGGGCTCACTGTGGTCTTCAGTTTTGATTGTCTTTCTCTCCAGCTGACCTGTCTCCATGCAAGATTCTTTAAATTGCATTTTTAGTTCTTCAGCGCTACTATACACACACACTTAACAAATCTATATGTATCCAAATATTTAACAAATATCTAAAAGTGTTCAGTCATCTGCACGTAATGGATTGTAAAAATTGCCTACTTTTTTTCCCCTGGATCCATCATGAATCCCACTTGGTCTCCAAAAACGACATGTCCATACCCTAGTCATCTAGACAGTTCCTAAAATGTTGGCTGTGCATTGAACAATCACAACAGAGCCTTCTCTTAGAACTCCCACCCAGGATCAGCGTGGATTTAACCATTTTCTCAATGCAGGAGAGCCAGCAGCATTCTTTTTCACAATTTCTTCTCTCACAGCATTGCCGTCTCCGGATGCCATGTCATGTTCTGAAATTAGAAGGGATACAAATCATGTCCAAATGTTTACAGCTCAAAGATAAGGCACAGTTTTGTTTTGTTTTGTTTTACATGATGCTAACTGTACTCACTGCCGTGTGTCAGTGAGCACCTTCGTCTGCAATAACACCTCTTACATTATTTCCTTCATATACCTATCATCACCTGACATTATTTTATACAGGCATTTGTCTTTTTCTTTCTGTATTATCTCATTCCAGTACTGGAATTCCAGTTCCGTGAAGGTAGGGTCTTTATTTCATTCACTACTATATCCCCAGCACTTGCAATAGTGCCTGGCACATAGTAGGCACTTAATAAATGCTTATGAAATGAGGAAATGCTATAAGAATAGATCTCTAAGTAAGATTTTTATACTATACTGGTATGGAAGAGGGATTAACTTTTTCTGTAATTCCAGAAGGCAGAAGGCAGACCAAAGGGTAAAACTTTCATAAAGATAGTTCTCACTCTACATAAGAGAAAAGTTTATAATATTTAGACTTTTCTAAAATGAAATTTTCTGCTTCTAAGAGTAGTGAGATGCACTTGCTTTGACAGTGCACATCCTGAAATGGAAGGCTATAAGAAGACTAGAGTGGACCCACAGATGACTGTGTGTAAATTCATGAAACATTCCGATCTTACTTCCCCAACCTGCCTCTCACTCTCCGATCCCTGCCCTCCAGCAAAAAAAAAAAAAAAATTCCTTGTGCATTTCCAACTTGGGAAGCAAGCTTACTACCCCCCCCCCCGCGCCCCCACATACACAAAAGAACAACAAGAAGTGGAACAAATGGAGTCGGGAAGCCCACTTGACAAGAGTGCTGCAGCCAACAGACACAAAGGCGGGAAAGACAAGCACATGCATTAGGGTATGGCGGGGCCTCTGAAGGTTCCAATGCTAGTGAGCCGTGGAGCTATTTAACCTGATCTCTGAAGCTGAGCCCAAACAAGTTTGTGTAGGGGTGATGTGAAGCCAGTGGTAGGACCGAGGCCCCAAGCCTCCTCCCGTAAACTCCAGCATGTGAACCTGGAAGTCTCATGTGGCCAATGTGCAGCTGAAGCCTGGGAAGCCTGTCCAAGAGGTCCTTAGGGATAGTCTGTCCAAGAGGTCCTTAGGGATAGTCTCTCTCCATCCTGAACCTGATTAAGGTTTACCATGATCACACTAATAGCACAACAGTCCTGTGGAGAAAAGGTCAAGGGGTCACGCTGCTGTGCGTGCAGCAGGTGAGATGCCAAAAAGGGGTCCCTGTCATGGAGGATTGATTACTTCAAAGGAGCCCCACTGCCTCCCCAGACATTCTACCCCAAGCACCAACAAAGATTGACAGCCGATTCAATTCTCCTTTGGTGGGAAAAGTTTAGGTGCAAACTTAGATGACTGAAGAGGGTTGCAAAAGTTGTTTCTTCAAAGTTGTTTTCAACTTGTGGTTTTAAGAAAGCAAAATAAGACAAAAGAACCTGCAAGAGTTTGAGGCAGTTAGCTGTACTGAGACAACAATCTTCAAACCTGTACTCAAAAACAATCTACTTTGTTTGGGTTTTTTTTTTAAAGAGACAGGGTCTCTCTCTGCCACCCAGACTGGAGCCTAATGGTGCGATCATAGCTCACTGTAACCTCAAATTCCTGGGCTCAAGTGATCCTCATGCCTCGGCATCCCAAAGCATAAAAACAACCTAATCATGCAAATAGTTTGTAGATCTCAGAAAGCAGATTGGTGGTTGCCAGGGAGTGGGGGGGGTGGAGCAATATGAGGAATAGGGGTAACTGCTTAATGGGTACTGGGGTTTTATTGGGAGCTGATGAAAATGCTCTAGAACTAGTTAGAGGTGTTAGTTACACAACATTGTAATGTACTAAATGCCATTGAATTGTTCACCTTCAAATGATTGATTTAACATTACGTGAATTTTGCTTCAATTAAAAAAAATCAGGTCTTAAAATCTTTTGCTTTTCAAGGACTATACAGATAAATCATAGTGTTTAAAATGTTAATAATGTCTCAATTTTCAGATTAAATTTTCACAAAGATACTCACTCTAGGGCATAGTCATACTTACAACTAATAATTCGCTTAAAAGCACAATTTTCCCTTTTTAAATTTTTTTTTTTTTTTTTTTTTTTTTTTTTTGAGGCAGTGTCTCATCCATCACCCAGGCTGGAGTGCAGTAGCATGCTCACAGCCACTACAGCCCCAACTTGCTGGGTTCAGGAGATCCTTCTGCCTCAATCTTCCAAGTAGCTGGAACCACAGGAGCACACCACCATGCCCTGCTAATTTTTTGATTTATTGCAGAGATGAGGTCTTGTCAATTTGCCCAGGCTGGTCTCAAACCCCTGGGTTCAGCAATCCTCTCACTCTGCCTCTCAAAGTGCTGGGATTACAGGTGTGAGTCACTGCACCTGGCCTCCCTTTTTTTTAAATGTGCTTAGTTGCATCCATATGTAAGAAGGAGGTAAGAAAAATAAGCACATTTGCCAAGTAGTTCACATCTTAATTAATTTGAATTTATAAAAAACTAAATAAAATGGATTTGAGTTATTAGTTATTTACATCTGAGAAGGGAAAGTATACTGTTTGTAATGCTAGCAGTTGCTGTGCCTACATGTTAAGTTTTTTTTTTACATTTTTAAATTTATTTTTAATTGATAAATAACAATTGTATATATTTGGGGTACATTGTGATTTTTTTATACACATTTCCATTATGGAATGATTAAATCAATATCTAATTCAATATCAATATCTAATTCACATATCTATCTCTTCACATATTTATTTTTTGTGCTTGGTGAGAACATTTAAAATTTACTATTTTAGCTATTTTAAAATACATAATATATTATGATTATAGTCACCATTCTGTACAGTGGAGACACAAACTTCAGTGATACCTGTTGCTTTAAATGAGCTACTTTCTTTCTTTCTTTTTTTTTTTTTTTTTTGATTTGGAGTCTCACTCTGTCACCCAGGCTGGAGTGCAGTGACATGCTCACAGCCACTGAAGCCACGACCTGCTGGGTTCAGGTGATCCTTCCGCCTCAGCCTTCCAAGTAACTGGAACTACAAGCATGCACTACCATGTCCAGCTAATTTTTGATTTATTGTAGCGATGAGGTCTCGCCAAGTTGCCCAGGCTGGTCTCTAACCCACAGACTCAGGTAATCCTCTCACCTTGGCCTCCCAAAGCGCTGGGATTATAAGCATGAGTCACCTCGATCGGCCAAAATGAGCTACTTTCAGTTCAGTGGAGCTCTATCGTACTGGCCATTTAGTTAACAAGATAATAAAATATGTGCATAGCACTATCTCATAGATTATAAATTCCTCATATTCTAACAACATGTGTAAGAAATACACATGAACTAACCAGCAGCATGTGAATATTATTACAATTTAATTCACTTCCCAAATTTCAATCACAGATAGTATTTCTTATCCTCTCCAAAGTCCATAAAAATGAATGTTTGAAATAATTCCATTTAAATGCTTCCATTTGCTTTTCTTTTTTTTTGAGTTGGAGTCTCACTCTGTCGCCCAGACTGGAGTGCAGTGGCCGCTCCCGGCCACCGCAGCCTCGACCTGCTGGGCTCCGGCGATCCTTCCGCTTCAGCCTTCCAAGTAACCGGAATTACAGGCATGCGCTACCACACCCAGCTGATTTTTTGATTTATTGTAGCGATGAGGTCTCACCTGCCCAGGCGGGTCTCGAACCCGCGGGCTCAGGCAATCCACTCACCTCAGCCTCCCAAAGGCGCGGGATTACAGGCTGAGCCACCGAGCCCGGCTCCCGTTTGCTTTTAAAAAGGAAGAAATGTTCTATATTTTCTGTCTTGGCTCTTAAAGTCTATCTAGTAAATTCTTCACAGTACTTTTTCTATGTGAAGTTAAGAAATAGTTTTGGGGGGTGGAATTGGCAGTTAAGGGAAACTGCTGGGAGAGGGAGGGGCACACCTCATCAACAAGGGTACCTGCATAATCAACGTTTGTATACCTAACCCTGAATTGTATCGGACATCTTTAAAATAAAAAATAATAATAATAATTTTTTTAAATGGAAAGCAAAAAAAGAAATAGTTTTGTCTAGTAAATATATAAAACAGATCACTGAAGAATTTAAAGAACTTTATATATCTCAGTTGGTTATCTTTTTTTTCAGTTTTTTGCAATCAAACATATTTATCCTTCACATAAACTAGGCAAACCTATGACAAATTATATGTTATCCTCAAAATTATTGATGGAATCTTTTTTAAAAACAGCAACCAAATTTAGTGACCACTTACCTTTCCTCTTATTAAGATAAAGGAAAAAGAATCACTCCAAACAACCTCTCATTCTCTTCCCTAACATTTTGTAAATTATTCAAACTGAAAATGAGCCTATTGATCCAACGTTTATACTGGAATCAGTTCTTACCTGTGTGAGAAACAAATCTCCTGTTGGAAGACTCGGCTACTGAATATTGGAAGAAGGGGAATTTCAGGCATTTTCCTGTCCCCCTGTCACAGATGCCCGACTGGCAGTTGCAGGTCTCTCTGCATTCCATCCCAAAGGTGCCGTAGGGGCAGTCTGAGGACAAAGGAAGGGTTGGAGTGGGAGCTGCTTGCTGTGCATAAGCCTCCATCCTAACACCTTTGTGTGCATAGCCTTAGGATTTGAACCAACCTCATGAATCTTGACTGTGAAATGAAAGCCAGTCCTCAAAAACCCAGGCTTTGAAAGTTGAAACTTTGAGTCATAAACTTGAAATCACACATTAATACCAGATAACAGACCCGTTGGCATGGTGTCATAATGTAGAATTTAGTTGAAAGACAGCTACATGTAGCTTAGTTTCTTTGGACCAGTCTTCTTTCTGTTTATTTTCTGCTGATACCAATAGAAAGATTCTCACAAGTTACCTCTGTAACAGCTCGGTGAAGGCAGGAAATTAAGGAGACATCTAGGTATCAGCTCCTCAAAGAGTTTGAATTTGCTATATTAACAGATGATTTACACTTTTAAATGTATAGGAAAGGGCTTCAAATTAACCAGGGTTAAGAAAACTGTCATCCCAGTTCAACATAAAGTGATTGATCCTCAACCTGCTCCAATTCTTATCAAGTTCCTTATATGTCAAAATGGCACTAGAACTTACAAAAATACCTCAGTTGCTAGAAGGGTTCACTAGAAAAGCCCTGCAAAGCTAAGAGGCAAGATGCATTGAACAAGAGAGGTGACCATTTATTCACCCTAAGCGATTGTACACCTACCAAGAACTGGAAGCTTTTGGAACTTCAGTGTTTTCATACTTATGCTAAAATATACTACACTGAGATAAAGAAGACAGAGTCATTTATTTTAAATGCATGGTTTTTATGATATAAACAGCATCTCAATAGATTAACCAATCTTTAAAAATCGGCAGAATAGATATAGAATATTTATACTCTTGACATGAAGATATCCTTGTAAATACACAATCACATACAGGTAAAGAAACAAGTCATGTGGCATCTGAGTCTTTAGCATTCTAATATTCCTCTGAATGATCAAATAGATTATTAATGAATATATGTTTAAAAGAGATTTAAGATGACTCGTCAGTGTGCTTCAGATTACAGAGGAAACTGGTTTTGAACACTGTCCTCTCTGTAGGGAAAAAGAGTCCTTCAAAGAGGTCTTGAAAAAGCCTCTAGCAGAAAAGTACACAGGACTAGGTTGTGACTGTGTCTGCAGCGAAACTGAAACAGAAAACTTTAGCCAAATTTCCAGTGATATTTCTGATGTATGCCCTGGTGTATCAGACAGTACTGGGCATATAGTAAGTGTTCATTAAATATGTATTGACTGGCTGATTGTTATCTGGGCAGCTTAATAACAAAAATCTGAATATTTAGAAAACACTTAGATATGCAACTGCAGTATACAGTTTTCATGTGGGTGTCCTTTATTGTTTTTTTCTTTGAGTTGGGGTCTTACTCTCTTGCACAGGCTGGAGTCAAACAACATGATCACAGCTCACCATAGCCTCAAACTGCTGGGTTCAAGATATTCTCCCACCTCAGCCTCCTGGATATCTGGAACTACTGGCACACATCACCATGCCCAGCTAATGTTTGTTTGTTTGTTTGTTTGTTTTGTAGAGACAAGATCTTGCTATGTTGTCCAGGCTGGTCTCAAACACCTGGGCTCAAGCAATTCTCCCACCTTAGCCTCCCAAAGTTCTAGGATAGCAGGCATGAATCACCATGCCCAGTCCCATGTGGGCATTCTTTTAAAAAGTTGAAGAAGAGAGTTTAACTATGGTAAAATACAATATCTCAGTCTAGAGTTGCTAAGGTTCACACAGTGTCATTATTTTCAGCAGAGAGGAAAATGTTCAAAAAGAGACTCATCAGCAGTCTGAACAATGCAAAAAAGAGAAATCTTTTTAAAAATATATCTCAATAATATCTACCTTGATCATTCAGTAACTAGAGTATAAAGACACCTGGTGCCCCACATCTTGTTCCTTTACCCATATGTAACTGTACATTTACAATCACATGTACAAAAGCATTTTTCTGCCAAAAGAAAAAGCAATCCACAGCATATACTTGCTATATCATAAGTATGATTGTGTTAACCACTTCCTCTCTAATTTCCTTATGTGAAGTACTATTTTCTTGACTGATAAGCCCTGTAATTTACAGAAATACAGATCCTATTCAGCTGAAAGAAATATATGTGTAAGTGTTCACCAAAGAAAATGTTTCCTCAATATTCTACTTCGTGTTGAATATAAATAAAAACAAACTAAGCAAAAATTAAAATTCTTTTAATGCCTCAATAATTTATTTTCTAACCTTTTATATGTTTTTCAGATTAAAAGATTATTCATTTATAAATTATTTGTCTAAATGGCAGGAGAATTAATGAAATCAGCTCAATACTAGATGCTTATCACTCATAAGAGAATAAAATTAGATTAAATACATAGAATATAAGTATTATTTAGATTTTACAAGTCTTTGCTATAATTTTGGAGGCATCTTTGTATTATACTACTGATGAATGGGGTTACAGCATGTGTTACATTTTAATAATAACTCTTAATAATGAGATCGTGAGGTATCTATATATCATCCTTTTGACTCTAGTCATTTTTAAAATGCTAAACATTTTAAACTAAAGTCACTAAGTTTAAAATAAGTCCCACAAATACTTACCTGTCTTATTTAGCTATAATTTCAACCTGATGGAGTTTTTCTTTAAGTCTAGAAGTGATCGACTTCATTCTTTACAGACTTCCAATTTTTATTTTTCTTACAGCTGTGTTTGCTTGTTTTAACACCATCTTCTACTTTTCTAGAAGACCAAAACCTTTAGAAAGTCTAATGAGGTTTGTTTCATAACTCAGGGGACCCTCTTTGAGGAATGTGAGTTATTTTGTTAGGTGAGTACAGGCCACCCTCTTCCATAAAGTACATTAGCATTCATCAGAAATCTTTGATACTGAGAGAGGCCCTCTATCCTGTGGACCTCTTCAAGATCAAAGAATCACTAATTGCGGGGGCTAGAAACTATTCCAAGAGGTTATTTAGTGGAGACCACTGCAATCGCTGCCTTACAGAGGACAGAGCAGCTAAACCATCCGGGACAGATTACCTGTCAAGTTTCTAAAGTTTTCCAGAAAAGGAGGCAACACAATCCTCCATTGCAGCATTCTTTCTGAAATCTCCTAAAGATAATGAGGAAAATGCTGCATAACTTTCTGTGCTTTCCTCCACACTGGTTTCAGTTGAAAGAAATATATGTGTAATTGCTCACCAAAGAAGAGGTTTCCTCAATATTCTACTTCCTAGTGGACATAAACAAAAATAAACAAAGCAAAAAAAAAAAATTCTCTTGCTACTTCAAGAATGTATTTTCTAACCTTTTGTATGTGTTTCAGATTAAAAGATGATTAATTTATAATAATATGCAGAGTTACCTTTGTCTCTCAATGTATGACAACACCTGTGTGGGGCCTTGTCAAGAACACACCTGCCTCTTTCTTCCTAGTCTTAAAGAGCAAAGCCACCTCACCTCCCAAGCTGGCTAAAAGCTCTCAGCGTGCCCTGGGCAGGGAGAAGCAAGGAGTCACCCTTTACCTTTGCAGATACCAAACTCGTCACCAAAATCATCCTCCTCACTGTAAAAGTGACACCTCAGCCCCGGGCCACACTTCACGCCATCCATGCCTGAGACTGTGCGGTAGCAGGTTTCTCCCAGCCCTGCAGCACACACCCGGCAGCAGCCACAGTCGTCGAGCACTGTCCTCTTACAGCGCAGGCTGCTTTTGCACTCATTACTGTCACAGTGTTCAGGGCAATCCACCGCATACTTGGTGCTCCAAGTTGCTGCCAGGTGTGCAGGTACAAGGAGCATGGTCAGCAGCAGGACGCTCTTCATGTCTCCCAGCTGGCTCAGCCTCAGCTCCCACGTCGTCGTCTTTGCTGGTGACAAGCAGCCGTCCAAACTGGTAGCTGAGCCTCTGCCTACACGTTTATGAGTTTTATACACTGGGTTGCCCGCATGCCTCCCCGTCATCAATTTCCTCAACCCAGCAGCAGTGCTGTCCTCCTGCCAGGCTCTCTTGTTTTAGTTTATGAAATCCAGGATGAAGGCTGGATTAACACGCTGCTGCCATCCAGGAATTGAAAAGCCCAAGCTGATGTCATCTGTTATGTTTAGATGGTTGTTTTGCATGAGGACTGAAAAACTCACTCACATCCGTCTCAAGGGCTCAAGGACGTCTGTGAAGGAGGAATAAAGGTCACACACCCTCCTTCAGGACAGGAATTGTTCTGACACCGGCATATCACTTGGGGTGTAGCTTTGTTTCAGAGTCTCTGTAGTTGGGAAGAAAATGATATCGACATGAATCATCAGGACCAAAGAAGCTTCTTCAAAAAAAATAATAAGCATTTGGTATTTCCCCTCAATAAATAGCTATGAGATCATTTGGAAGAAGAAAGGGTTATATTGTGTCTTTTCAATACTAAGAAGAAAGAAAATATTTTGATAGGAATTTTTTAAGACCCTCTCTTCCTTCCTGCCACCCCTCTCCTCAAATGCTATTTCCAAAGCAATTCATGTCACATATATCTAAGCCCGTGGTGGATGTAGCTGTATTTCTAGTAAGATACAAAATTGCCTCTGAGAATTTCTTTTAAAATCAATACCAAATGCCACAAAAGAGGTAAGATCCTTCTGGCATTGTTTCTGGGTTACTCAATTCTGGAAGAAAAAAAAAAAAAAAGCTTATCAGTTACACTTTTCCTGACCCAAAAATCCTTGGGGAAAAGACTCATCCATCACTGAATCTGCTTGCCCAGTGACTGAGTCCATTCAGAGTTCCTCCCCTCACCTCCTGGCATCTGTCTGAGCCCTCTCTAAAAACCACCAAACACGGCAGCCAGCCTAAGGAAACAAGTGAGCCAGCAGGGAAATCAGAACATGGTCCCAGAGAAGCAAGTCACAAGGAAGGGAAAACATTACCCATCAGAAAACAAGGTCTGCATGCTACAGAAGGTCACAGCGCCTAGGTCCCACTGGGGAAAACAGAGTGGGTCTCTTAAAATATCAACTGGACCAGGGCCTTATTAAGCAAGGTTTGTGGGACAGAGAGAGCAAGATGAAAGAGGAGAGAGGGCAGTTCTTATACCAACCACATGTTGGGTTCCAAGCCTCACTTGTCAAAATAGATATAAACCCCCTGTCATTTAGTAAATATACAACCCAGTAAAGTGGATAACTTTTAGTCTATCACAAATGCACTGCGAGAAATCCACAGGACTTCTCTGAACCTCAGCTTCATTCTTTTGAGAACCGATGGTGTTAGTCTAATTGACCTCTAAAATTCTTGTGTCCTCTAGAAGATGAGGCATAGATAGAGGCCATTGGATTGACTTGATGATTGGCCTTTGCAAATGCAATTTTTGGGGGATGGAAGGGAAAAAAAAACCAGACTGCAGGGAATTGAGAAGATAGAAAATAATAGCAAGAGATTTAGTTTCCATGTTTCCCAAATTTTCCATGACAGTCCAATTTACAAATACTCTACCTTTATCTCCCCAGAAACAAACACATACTTAGCAGGTGGCACACTCTGATATGTTATTTCCAATAGTGGGTAATATCTCCTGAGTAAATAGCTTAGTCATTTTACATGTATTAACTCATTTGTTCCTCCCCACAATATTATGAAGTAGTTACTATTTGCGTGCCCATTTTTTGAAAGAGGAAACTGAATGAGAAAGGGGTTAAATGATTTGCCCAAAGTCCCTGTAATGTTAGAGACTAATCTGAACCATGTTAGTTTAATGTCAGGGTCACACACTCTGTTGCTTATTACAACACAATTGTGTTTTCATGACCAATAGTTTCAATAGCTTAGTTCACACTTTAGACTGACTGTGGAAAAAGGTTTCTTGTTCAAACATTACTGAACACAACTCTCTGAGGATAGAGTGGTTAATTGAGATCGTGGTTACGAGACCTCATGTCTACAATAAATCAAAAAATTAGCCGGGCGTGGCAGTGTGCGCCTGTAGTTCCAGCTACTTGGAAGGCTGAGGTGGAAGGATCGCCGGAGCCCAGCAGGTCGAGGCTGCAGTGGCCAGGAGCGGCCACTGCACTCCAGTCTGGGTGACAGAGTGAGACTCCAACTCAAAAAAAAAAAAAAGAAAAAAAAAAATCATGGTTAACAGCCAGGCTTGGTGGCTCAGCCTGTAATCCCGCGCCTTTGGGAGGCTGAGGTGAGTGGATTGCCTGAGCCCATGGGTTCGAGACCTGCTTGGGTAACTTGGCGAGACCTCATCTCTACAATAAATCAAAAAATTAACCGGGCGTGGTAGCACGCGCCTGTAGTTCCAGCTACTTGGAAGGCTGAGGCCGAAGGATCGCCGGAGCCCAGCCGGTCGAGGCACTCCAGTCTGGGTGACAGAGTGAGACTCCAACTCAAAAAACAAACAAACAAAACAACAACAACAAAAAAAGAAATCGTGGTTAACAATGACACCTAACCTTTACAGAGATCTTGTTATGTGACAGACACAAGCTAAGCACTTTATATAGACTGCCACATTTCATCTTCAAAACAACTTCAAGAGCTAGGCACTGTTCTTATCCCCACCTTAGAGATGAGAAAACTGAAGCCTGGAGAGATTAAGTAACTTGGCCATCATCACATATGTAGCAAATTGTGAAGCTAGGATTCCAGCCCTGAGACAAACAGGCTCTGGAGCCTGGAATAAGGATTGTGAAATCAAATACATACAGGTGCCCAATGGGTGACCCAGGTGGATGGTAAGCTATGCCAGGTGTCATGCCAAGGGAATGGAGTAGATTTTGTCCACCTGAACAGCACACAAAGACATGAAACCTTTCTACTGTGGAAGGCAAAGACTTGATAATACCTTCAGTAAATGACAACTAAACAGAGAGAAGTTGTAAGCTGAGAGTACTGAATCCATAATAGTAACCAAACTTCTACTGAGGGTACCAAATTCATAACAGTACACCAAAACACAATATACAGGAGAGTGCAGAAAATATGCTCAGCAGAGTTCATCAATGGTGAAACTATCTCATACATATTGCCTAACAACTCAACAACTCATTGTGGGAGAATCTTCAATTTCTTCCAAGACCCAAGGAAAACTGTTTGTCCCAACATAATCCCTGTGGTCCGTTTCTCTAGTTGTATTTCTGTCTTCCCCAACCTTGAGCTCAGATCAACCAATTCCACTGGGAAAGTTAGCAGTGACCACAAATGGTTAGGAAATCAAAACATGAGCAACCAAGGGGCCAACTTTAGTCTGTAGGGAAAAAACTGCTAGGGGGGAAGACAACGCTATTGGCAATGAGTGCATGACGCCCACCTTGGTCCACTTCTTTTGTGCTGGGGACTGGCACATCTCTAACCTTACTCTGCGTGCATCAGTTGTCAAATCAAAGACTGAGAAAAGGCCAGGGGAATTGCATCTTTTTACAACCCTAAAAATGTCAAGTTCAAGTTATGGTGGGTCAAACCATCCTATCTCTGGATCCAAAGTATATAGTGTGTTGTCCTCTGCAATGGGGACAGAGACACAATAAAACCAAATAGCTCTTCAACCTAGCACATCCTATACATTTAAAATGCCATTGTGTGTGTGTGTGTGTGTGTTTTTCTAAGGTTGATATTGAACCAACCAGGAAAATGAGCCTTGGTAGTGTGCATTGATATTTTGTGCTTTATTTTGTACATTCTGATTGCTAATAACTAAATACCAATGATTTTTCTTTCTGGATAGGTAAAGGTGGTATATTGGGAAAAACTCTGGGAAGTTTGCAACCCTTCAGAAGGTGCTTCATGGTCTAGCTAAATCATACCATGTTTACTATGTCTTCCTCGTACACCATCTCTACTAGATAAGCTTGATTTAAATTGAATTACAAAAGCAGGCTTAAGGGGAAAAAGTTCCAAGAGGCAAGTAGAGATAATTACAAGCAGATTTTAGGTAACTCAGTTTTTAGTTTGGGATGAGTTTTGGTTTTGTGGTGCCATCTGAAAGTCTTCCTGTTTTGAAAACTAGCTGATGGTAATTTTGCATGTACCTTACTGCAAGTTCGAGTCCATAGTAGGAGCTTAGGACTGAATAAACACATAAATGTAATCAACTTTTTCCCAGAATTATTTTCAGAGAGGAGTAAGTTAAGTAGGCATCATTGTGTTCCCTTTCTTTCTCTTTCCACCAAGAGAAGCAAAGTGAGGCCCGGCTTCTTGGTCAGCCTGGGTTGAGCTACAGAATGTGAGTTCTCTGTGGTAATGTAGTAAAGGTCTCCAGAAACAGTAGAAGCCACTGAGGACTGGATGGCGTCTGAGCAAAAACTGTAGTCTCATCGCATCAGCTTCGGCACAGCTAATCAACTTTGTCCTCTTGAATTTGGGATTGACAACACTATATCCACCCTGGGGAAGTTCACGGGAGCCGCTCAAGGCCAACAGAACTTGATGAAGTACATCTGCCAAAGTGGCTGAGATTCATGGCAGTCATTGACCAGCTGTCAAAGCCCAGGGCTAGAGGAATCCTCCCAGAGCCTCCCTCCCGGGGAACATCTTGTTACCACAAACAGCTCTGCCACAGCCAAGTTATGTGATCTTAGGCAAGTCACATGCCATATACATTAGCCCTCTCCTTTCTCCTCTCTACTTTAACAATAAATTAAGAGGACCCAACAGGACAACAGTTGTGAAGGCGTCATGACTATTATCATCAAGAATCTAATTTCTGAAGATTTGTTTCATTTTTACAAAATATCGTATGTCTTGGAGCTAATATTTTTCCCAAAATAAATATCTCTCCAATTCTCTAAATTTCAATTTTTGATAAAGATAATTTTAATAGTAAAGTAGGATTCAAAGTACTAATATATAGGCAATTTTCAAAAACTGTATCTGCTTAGAAAAGTAAAGTGAAGTGCAGCCCTTTTAATGTGACTTCTTGCCTGGATGAGGACCTTCTGGTTGGCCTTAATAAGCAGGCCAACATCATAGAAAGCTGGGGGTGCCATCACAAACAGACACAAACAAACACAAATATCACAAACGTGACTGCAAGAGCCATGAGTATGAGGGTGCATAAATAAGTGTGAGAATATAAGGGCAGGACCCTTGCAGTGTCTGCTACAAACCTCAACCCAGAAGCTCTGGACGCCCCTTAGAGAACTTGGTCACCAATGGAATCTCTGAGGAGGCAGCCACAGAATCAGGTTGTTTTTAAATCCTGGTCAAATCTTGAAACTTCAACTTGGTGTTCACATTGCTAGGAATTTCTTTAGAGCCAGG